CAATGTTACTTGTTTTGGAAAGCTGCTTGTAATCAAATATTTTCATTATTAGTGTTTGCTGAGGCAATTATCACTAATACTACTGCTCACACCAATGCATTAAACTTAGGGGTTAAAATAAAACACAATAAAATGGGAGGGGAAAAAATCCCATATAGACTCAAATTGAAGAATGCGTCGAGTCAAATCTATCTTTTATCTAAAGTAACACTAAATAGTGTAACACAAACAATGTAAAATAAAGTGTTTCCAATAGTGCTGGGCGGTATACCGGTTCATACCGAATACCGGTGTTTATTTTTGTTATGATATGAATTTTTTAAATACTGCAATACCGGTGTATGTCGCTTAAACAACGTTCAGAACGCGACACTATTTGAAAGGGGTCCCTTTTCACTGTTTCACTGTGGTGAGGGAGCAGCTGTATGTGTTACTAAGCGTGAAAGTTCAGAAACTGAAGCTGTAGAACTAATAGAACGTGATGACACAGAAGAACTCATCAACAATATCCACATTGACCGCCACAAATATCCACCGCCCCCTGCCATCAGCTCCCCCGTCTTACACACACGAGCACGATTTTAGCACAAGATTTAGCAACTTTCAGACCCTTTTAACGGCTTTTTTCCATAGAATATTCATACTTCGTCTGTTAATATTACATGCACTTTTTTTTGTTTTGTCTGTTTGTTACTCAGACGCAGGCAGTGTGCTGCATGAGACAAAAATGTAATATAGCCAAAACAACCGCATATCCGCTCTTTAGTGTAGATGCATGTTGATTTTATCAGACGATGCTGTGATTATAAATGAGAGTGACTCCTGGTTAACGTATTAAAAGGGGTCGTGTTTAGTCACTATTTAGTGTGGTATTTTTTGACAATATTCACTCATCATGACAGTAAAATAGGGCATTCTAAGTCAATATACTGCAGTATTTCCTCTCAATCAGTAGAAAATATGGTTAACACCCGGTCATGCATGAAAAAAAAATACCGTCATGTACCGTGAAACCAGTATAATTTTGAAAAATACTGTGATATAAATTTTTGGTCATACCGCCCAGCACTAGTTTCCAATTAACTCTTTACATTCACATGAAATAGCTGGTGTCAATTTCTGTGCTTAACCTAAAAGAAAAAAGAGGAAGAGATAGATTATAAAACAAAAAGTGAGCAAGAGAGCTCTAAAATAGAGGATCCCATTCGCACAGAGCCTCTCAACACAGCTCAGAATTACAGATTTTGGGAAGTAATATAAAAAAAGGGCTTGGCTACAAAAATAAACACAATAGTCTGGGGAAAATGGGGACATGAGAGGACTAAACAACACCTTCAGAGTCTTCATTCAGTCTTCCCTTTTCACTGTGGCTCAAAGTCACAGATAGATAAATGGATAGAGATGGAGCAAATGACGGGAAGGGAGAAACGAGAGAGATGGAGGACAGATTGTGTTGTCAGCCAGAGAGAAAGAGGCAGAGGAAGAAATGCCTCATCTTTGATCAAATTTGCAAAAGCTTTGTGGGGAAAAAAAGAGATCTCAGAAATATCGATAAACATCCATTTCTGAGCTGTGTTTAGCAGAGAAAAAAGGCAATACAAATAGAAATTAATGACATCTGTCCCCATTGCGTACGGTGGCAAGCAAGGCCCCTCCATTTAGTAATTTATTTTTCAGTGTAAATGGCAATTTAGTCATCTCTAAATGTCACCTCCTGAAGCTGTGGAGCACTTTAGCCTTGCGTTAGGGCTTTAATAGATTTTTTAAAAAGTGCAGTATAGCCCTTCCATTTCTCTTATAGCCAGTTTATCAAAAATGTATTAAATTTCTAAGTGGCCTCCACCTCTGCGGACTGATAAATTCATGTGGTGTTCCTGAACTATACACATCCAGCCAAAGGATAAATGAAATCAGCAGAAGGAGGGAGCAGTGTGGCTGCTTAGGACCCACTCTTCCTATTGAAGTACATGGGCATAATAGGATGCGCTTTAAGGGGAAAGCGATAAAAATGCGGCCTGATATAGCAGAGCTATAGGTCTGCGTGGCCTGTGGAAAGCATATCCGCAGCTGAGGCTTTGCTGGAATCGTTTCGCACAAACAACGCAATATGTCTGTAATTGAATAATATTTTCCCTATCAGGGCCGTTTATCCGGAGCGATGTCTGCGGGTTGGACCTCTGGAGGATTTCAATGTGTGCAGCAGGCAGCGGTGTTAACGAGATTCATTCACCTCGTTAATGAAGAAAGAGGGTGTGTCTCATTAGTATGCGTCATTGCTTCTTTCATTAAACACAATCATGTAGCCTAATCACGGCCGATTCATTTCTCAGCCCTTTATAGATTCTCTCAAATCATCCGCACAAGTCAGTCCAAGATTTTGATTGCCCGCGGAACCGACGGCCGCTCCCACTCGGTTTCGCGAGTACACAACTAAACACGGAGACACATCTCTAGCAATCTGCATGGTTTTCACTGTAATATAAAGAATTGCCTTGAGGAAGGAGAAAAACTGAGAGTGAAACGATCTCAATCGGTTGCTTCAATATCACAATCATTACAGGCAGCAAATTACATCAGGGTCTCTTTTAGAGATTGAAACCAGCAGCAACATTGATTTAGCTTTCCATCATCTGGGGCCGTATTAGCTTTTGTGTGCTTTTTATGTTGAGTAGAGTGGATTAGAGTAGCTAATGAGCTTGCGGTGGTCAGTATCGCAGGGGCATTCGTTTTGTAGTTTGTAGTATTGTTCGGCAACAGAGCCAATTCTACAATCAGAGTTTGCTCAATTATAAAATAAGCAAGGTTCAAACTAACTCAGTGCAAAAAGAGCTGAAGTTAATTGTAGCAACCATGCCGTCGCCATATGCCCGGTTTTCTAAGTGTGGTCTGTGGCCTGGCCATATGCATAGATTTGTCCCCCAGTCACGCATCTGTCTTTTTTTAATCAATGCTGAAGCTATTTAGATGCTGGTAAATGCAGCACGAGTTCAACAGGTGATGTCCAATTATTTTAATGGTCACTAAGGGTTAATAGTGGGCACTGCGTCACAGCACGTAAACAAACTGACTGAATATTACCAAGTAGTAATCTGCTTGGTACACTACCCTTCAAGATTTTGAGGTTTAGGGTTTTTTCTCTTTTGAAAGAAATAACCACTTTTATTCAGCATGGATGCATTAAATTATTAAAAAGTGACATTAAAGACTTTCACATTGTTCTAAATGATTTCTTTTTAAAATAAAGCTGTTCTTTCTATTCATGAAAAAATAATCCTGGGAAAAAATTTGCATGGTTTTCGCTAAAATATTATGCAGCACAACAGTTTGCAACATTGATAATAATAAGAAATGTTTCTTGAGTACCAAATTAACATGTTAGAATGATTTCTGAAGGATCTGAAGAAACGTCTGCTGAAAATTTAGCTTTGCCATCACAGGTATAAATTACATTTTAAAATATATTAATATATCAAAAATATATATCAAACTTTTGAGTGGTAGTATATGTTAACATACTAATAATGTTGCAAGTACTATAAACATTAAAGCAATTTACATTTCAAAATTCACATTAAAGGGTTACTTCACCCAAATTCTTTATTGGACTTCTTTTGGACTGTTGAACAGAAACACCCGCCCAGTGCTATTATAAAGCTTGGATGTGCCAGGACATTTTTTAATACAACTCCGATTGGATTTGTCTGAAAGAAGAAAGTCATATACACCTAGGATGCCTTGAGGGTAGGGCTGTGTGATTAATCATACTCGCTCCTCTCTGCCCCACGCGACGCGAATCCCGCGTCACAGACGAGCTGTTCATGCTTGACGCACTCTCGTAATGCTCGTTATACTCGCACCCGGCTCCCAAAAAAAATCGCAATTTGATATTTTCCCCCAAATCGCACAGCCCTACTTGAGGGTGAGTAAATCATGGGCTAATTTTCATTTTTTGGTGAACTAACTCTTTAACATTTTGTAGCAATAAAGCAAACTAAAGCAAAACTGACTTATTCTTTTGCTCATTTGCTGTATATGTGCAAATGTACACAACTGGACTTTTCTAGCATAAATAACCCTGAAAATTAGTGTGGCACTGTTCTTTTTTTTTTACAAAGTCAGCTCACACAGCAAATCAATGCATACTGCTCCACATTTGTGCCCTTCTTCAAAAATCTGGAACATTTTCTGACTATTTACATACATTTCATACTCACAACATTCCTATGGTTTAAAATAAACTCTCTGAGGCCTAGTATTTTAGGTTCACCTACAACCTATCCAACTGGCCGCAACCTGCATTAGATCCGAAATTTGTGATTATTAGAGAATGATGGACTATGCGTACAGTATTTTAATTACATCATGACATTCAGGAGCCAATTAACTAGTGTAGCATACTGATAAAAGACACATTAAGTCGCTCTGGATAAACAAAAACAAAAAAAATGATAATACGCTATTGCATACCAGATTGTAGTATAAAATGAATAGCATGGACAGGGATTTGATATAATGAAACAAACAAAACATGATTTTTGTATCATTATACATGTGCAGTCGGATGTGGTTGGCTCGGTAAATGAGAAATCCAAACATGTACACGCTTGATCCCGGTTCCTCTTGGCCACAAAGACTCTGCTGTCATTGTCAGCCCACAGGAAACATAAAGGGGGTTCTGTAATCCCCGCACCAGACAGGCCTGGATACAGCGCCAGATCCTGATAAGATTACACCGCTAAAGGAGCGAACCGGGCTAAAATTTGAGAGAACTGTGAAGGGAGCCAGCTCTGACATGTGGCACCGACAGCGCTGCGAGCTCGGCCCAGCCCTGGCCTGGTCTCATATGGGACATGGTCCTCTCATAATCAGCGAGAGAATCTTATCAGGCCTGGCTAGCTGCTGGCGGTCTATCCGTCTCTCTCTCTCTTTCGCTCTGCTCTCATCCACACGCACACACAAACACAGTCAGGTTGTGCAGGTGGATGGAGGTCATACCATACCTTGTATGATGTCTGGAGGGGAGGTTGTGGCGGAGATGGTGGTGGTGGTGGTTGTGGGTTTAGGGGTTGTGGTAAGGGCATCTAGATGGAAAAACACAACAAAAAAAACATGACATACGGGGAAAAATCAGGAAAAACGAAACCAAACATGATCAAATCAACAACAATGAGAGACAGATTCGTGTTGTGTAATATGTGTAGCTTTACTCAACAGATGGTAAATTAGTCTATAAACTGTAGGTGAATTATCAAGCGTAACTACTGTACAAAATGAAATATTACTCTCTGGTGAAGAAGTCATTACGAATGGTAACTGTGGGAAAAGTACTGCAAATACTTTTTTTTGTGTGTGTGTGTAAACATTTACTGCTAATTTAGTGTTTGGGAAATAGACTAAAATAGCATTTAACAACAATTAAAAGAAATCCAACCAAAATGAAATGATGACATGAGGGAATGATTAGAAATGAAGGAAAACATAAAATGCAGATGGTTATGCATTTAAAATGTCCATGCTAACAAATGACCATAGCCATGACACACAGAAGGGGTCCTGGCATACATTCTCCTGTTTGGTTTTTGCATTTTCACACTTCATTAGCTGCTTTCCCTCCCTACTATCTACTAATGTTGCTTCTGATTTAGCAATTTGTAGTGTGGAGTGCTGGACGCAATACTGATAGACCCCAGAGCCAGTGGCAGCGGTCGTGACAGGCTTAGCGTGTTTGATGTCGGCGAGTTAACTCAGCGGGTGTGTTAGCCAGTCCGGTGCGTGGGGTGATCAGGATTTTTCATGGAGAGACAAACAGGCAAACATTAATGAAATGAGGAATGGGAAAAGGAGGGCGCGCGGGCATGGGAGCGAGCAATGTTTCTCGGGGAGATAACAGGCGTGAAAAGCGGCGCGGCCCGCGCCACTGTTTGCCCAGCGCGTACAGACAGATACCACTGTGTTAACATCTGTGGTGGGGGAAATTGGTCGGCTGTCTCCCCTCCCTACTTTGTTGTCTGCGCTCCATCAAAAGAGCTCGGTGGGAGCCCTGAAACGCTTCCACTCTCTAATGATAAACATCCAGCAGGATGAAGCGGAGGCAGAGAGGAACTCTGCCTCCATCTCCTCTGCTGATACATGGGATCACTCAGAAAATGGCAGCCACGTATTGCGTGCCATGCACTAGAGGGCTTTTAACACCACACTAAACACTTGTTAAGGACACTTTCAGTCCTTAACAGTATACATGTACATAATTATAATATAGTTATAATGCAGTCTCCATCTGTCTGTCTGAATATACACAACACAATATGCAATGTAATACAAAAATATATAATATATTTTAAGGCATGTTGCACATCGGATTAACGTGTTCACATGACATTTTAAAAAGACAAATTATTGTTTAAGACTGAAATTCGAATTGGAAGTGGAAGTGTATGGAAACATATTTATCAGTGAAACATATGTCTACCCTGGGCTAAAGATAAAATAAATGTGATAGTTTCACTTCATGAGAATTAAAAATAATAATAATTATAATAAAATAATATTTAGTTTGTTAATATACATGACAGATGATGACAGATGTCAGAATTTTAACATAACTATGATATTATGGCCAACTGTCACTTTAGTTATGAAAAAAAAAATCACTGGATTACAAAAAACACTTTAAAATGCATAAACATTATTTAATTGAAGTGACTTTTCAACTAATCAATGTGTTTTTTTGTAAAAAGAGGTTAATGCAATTTAAATAATGTGAATGCTGGTCCCAATTAGACTTTAAATGCATTATTTTTGACAGCTAAAATAATTAGTAATACTAAAAAAAAGAAAAGAAAAACAGTATTCATTTATTAATTTGAGTATTAAAGCAATGGTATATTTACGTTGACATTATTATGCTATTTTTTACCCTTACTACTGTAACACTTTTAATAGCACTATTATAATTTGGACATACACTACTGTACCATTCAAAAGTTTGAGATCTGTAAGATTTGGTCACACTTTATTTTAAGGTTCAATGCTCGCTATTAACGAACCAGTAACTATGACTTTTGCCTCAATAAACTCTTAATTTGCTGCTTATTAATAGTTAGTAAGGTCGTTGTTGAGTTTAGGTATGGGATAGGATTAGGGATGTAGAATATGGTCATGCACAATATGTGCTTTACAAGTACTAATACACAGCCAATATGTTAATAATAGGCATGCTAATAAGCAATTAGTTAACAGTGAGAATCAATCCCTATACTAAAGTGTTACCAATTTGGTGAGTCTCTTATACTCACCAAGGCTAAATTTATTTGATCAAAAATACAGTAAAACAGTACTATTGTGAAATATTATTACAATTTTAAAATACGTTTTCCATTTCACTATATTTTAAAATGTAATTCATACCTGCGATGAAAAAGCTGAATTTTCAGCAGCCATAACTCCAGTCTTCAGTGTCACATGACCCTTCAGAAATCATTCTAATATGTTTACTTGGTGCTCAAGAATCATTTCTTATTATTATCAATGTTGAAGACAGTTGATTCCACAATACATTTTTAAGGATTCTTTGACTGTCACTCCTGAACAATTTAAATGCATCCTTGCTGAATAAATGTATTAACTTCATTAAAAAAATAAAAATAAAACATCCTACTAACCCCAAAATATTGAATGTTAGTATATTTTTATTATACCAAAAATGGCAGATAGTTACATAGAAAAAAACAAACAAACAGAAACATTACTAAACTATCAAAACTGATTAAACAACAAGCAAGCACAATTCTTCTTCATAATAATACAAAACTACAGTATTCACTTCTGCACTCTGTCCATCTCTTTAAGCAGATGTGATTGCTTTACTGCACTTTCTGATGGAAAAGGTACTTTCAAAGATTTGTATGTTTGGCATGCCAATAAAAAACCGTAATGGATCACAGGTTGTCAGAGGTAAGTTGTTACCCGTCTCAAAATACACTGATTCACACGGCAATTGCAACTAGGTGAAAATTTCTCTCCCAGACACCTTCCAGAAGGGCACAGCCGTGTGGATTTCTCATGCTTGTGATGAAGTATACCAGCAAACAGACCGAGTGAACCTGCTAAACTGTGTAGGATTTAAACACAAGCATGCATCTGTCTGAAAGCACAGGGCTAAAATGTTTAATATTTTTGACATGCTCAGTCATCCTTAATATCCTATGGCAAAAAGGGAAAAGGAAACAGCTGACCAAGGAAACTCAGCAAGCAGTCAAGCATGGCAAATACAGGCTAACGAAGAGCTATAGAGCTCACTTTACAAGCAGCAGCACATTTGATCAATAGCCACTATAGACTACATTTGCATTAAATAATGCGTGCTGAGCCTGAAAAGCTTAATGCAGTATGAACTAGCAGATACATATATGTTTTAATAAAGAAAGACGGAGAAACCGAAACCCCACTTAACGCACGTTCGCTTTAACTCAGCGGAGGGCCAACTTTATTGGCGCCACTCCGTTATGAACTGTGAATGCCCAACAGATGTTTGAGATCACCGGTGTCAATAGCTCATTAAAAACTTGGCAGGCCGATTGGATCTATAACTAACCGCATTTAGAAACAGCCCATTTTTGTACATTTTTTTGTAGCTATCTTTTTAAAAGGCGAACCGATGCCTCCGAGTATCAGGGCTTATTGACTTTCACAGTGCATACCTGCCATGTCATCCCAGCGTGTGTTTATCACGGCACATTATGAATCATAGCAACAGGCCGGGGCGCGCGTGTGTGTAGCAGGCTCATTAAACCCGGGCCACTGCAAAATACTGCCGGTTACACCGATTCCCCAGACACGCAAAGGCTAACGCTAGGATGAGAACTCATATTTTACTCTCTCCCTCGCTGAGCCACTTGCTAAAACGGCGCATCTCCCAAATGAGATGCGGACCAACGCATGAGTGGCTCGCAGAGGCAAGGAAGGAGAGCGAGGTACGTACGAGGAGCTGACTAGATGAGTACTTTAATCGGCATGGCATTTCCCGGCATGTCCTGGGACTCCTAACGGATAACAGTCATTCAGGAACGACACGGAGAGGGAAAAACACACGTGAGTAATAGTGTGATTAGCAATGGGTGCTCAGGGCTGTTGATTTGCCCATCAGCAACCTTTTGTCATCAGGCAGCTTTATGTGTTTGTTCAAGGAGATTTTCGCTTGCTGTAGCAAAACTAGCAAGAGCAGGGGAGGGAGCTTAACCCAAATATTGCAATGTGTAGGATTCTTTGGGGCTAGGCGGCAGTTTTAGGCTTTGCTCCTTTTGGAACGCAAGTATAAACACACACACACACACACACACAAACAAACAAATAAATAAAACATTGGGATACCGTATAAAAACAAAAAAAACCAAAAAAAAAACGCTGGATGTAAACACCAAGATGAGCATAAATTCTAAAAGTAAGTTGGATAAATTTCTTATCCAGTAAGAAAACATGCGCACAATACAATGGAAACACTTTTACTGAATAAATACCTTAATGCGCATCAAAAAAGACATGTGATTTTGCAATGGGACAGCATAAAACCAGACCAACCAACGGACCCATCTCATTGCACAGCATCTGAAATGCTAGTTTTGTCATTCTAAAATGCTTGAGCAAAGCCTTGTCAAAGTGCTTTGTTATAATGAACTCCCAGAAATGCATTCCCAATCAGCAGGCTCTGAAAATAATATAACCTGACCGTATTTCATCTGCGCACTCTGAAGCTCATAATTTATAGTTTACAAAAATTATTATACAGTGCCTTCCCCTACTGCAGCAAATACAATTTTTCTTCAAGATATTTAGCAAAAGTTAATCAGGAAGTGATGATTTTGTTCTCTTCAACTCGCTGGATGGAAACAGTGCTTTACTCGCAAATGTTTTATGCGATATTCATAGCTAGTGGTACTCTAACTAAACAACGTGTATCACTGGATTTCCTCTAGGTGGTACACATAGCAAAAATAACCAAAAACCACAAAAATTTTTTAATTATATATAAAAAATAAAATTACATACATAAATAAATACATATAAAAGTTATCAAAATAATAAA